CACCGACTAAAAGTAGACATACAGAAAGCCAAACAAATTCCAGTGGAGATACCCGGCCAAAATCCGTCCTTTAGAAGATTCAGATCGGACTCGACGAGCTCGGATACGGGGACCGTCAGCCCCGTTGGATCCCCCACTTCTATCGGTCCAATATCCGTCCCTTCCTCCTCACTACCGACGTCTGGCAGATTTTTGCATCGTGCGTTCAGTTTAGAGATGACCCGTCCCACCTCTGCAGAAAAGTACTTCAAAAACGAATTTGACATTAAATGGCAATAAAATTGTCTTTCTTTTCGGTTAGACGGGTGTAAATAAAGGGCTAGTCCATGCTTATGGCATTAGTTTCATCTTCCATATCATCATGGTTTCTGCGATCTCGCATTCATTGATAACATTGATACTATAATTCCATATGGACATTAACAATTAAATATTTGTGTATAAATGTACATAAGGTATGTTATTTTTTTGAACACGTGAATTTTGAATTTGTATGATTTTTTTGTACCAATTTTTTCATGTTTGCATTGTCTATTTTTGCAGAACTTGCGGTTACATTTGTAAATCCATTGAATCGTGTTGCATACGTTATTAGGTGCTTTCTAGCGATAAAGTGCTACCATTTCTAATTGTATATAAACTCTGACGATTAAAATTGTTGAATTGTTTCCCGGCGTTGCTTTGTTTTGGTTGACACGTGTTGTGTTCACCTGGGAAGTCCCGTAGGCAAACTAGGTCGCCGACCGAAATTCCGGCAAGTCTGCTTAAAAATTGTAAACAACTCGAATCCCAGTGTCAAGGACATCAAAACCAACCGGCTGACTAATCGAAGTTTAAACATATAATTTTGTTTAAGATTATAAAGAAGAATCTAAAGGTGGAAGTAGCGATATTGTTCAGTTTCAGATCTAAACTTTTAATGGAACAATTTCGCCCCCCCCTCGAAAAAATGTACTGCATATATATAAGCATTATAATTTTCAGTGTTGACAAAAGTATACAGTAGATTTATTGAACACATATCGTGCGGAAGACGGTGGTTATATTGTAATTTTTAAATAATTCTTTGCCACCTGGTAAAATCAAAATTGGTAGTTTTTGCATCAATTTTCTGATTTTATTTACTCCACATAAACCAAAGAGATACGGTGTGTATATACATTGGAAGTGGCTTAATGGCGAATGTTTTTTTTTTCACCTTTTTTGTAAAATATCAGTAGGCCTAATATATATGAATAGGGTTCGCCATTCCTTGCCTATAATGATCTTATGCATGCATCTGTTTACGGAGTCCGTAAATACTTCAGAATAGTTTACATTGCAGTTTATGAACAAAACAGAGCTGGGTTTTGTTTATGTCACAGATCTTAGTCTGGTCTTTTCTGACCTTGTCGCAAATCTGGACGAAAACAACTCTCCTAAGACTTTCTTGTTCAAACGTAACCTTTGTAAGAATTTGTTGACCAAAGATATTTTATTTATTCGAAGACTTTTATATGCAAAATTAAAATTTAAAAAAACTTGCCCCTAATTGGTACGTCATTAAATATTGGCATCTCGTCAAACTACTGCAACTGCGTTTTTTTAACCAATAAAAGTACGATAAACAAATACGATTTCACTAGTATAAATTATAGGCCTATATGTATTTTTTTTTTTTTTGCTATTTACATTCAATTTGTTTGGCGTTCAGGCAAGTGTTCCAATTCTGGTGTAAGGGGTGTGTTCGAATCCTACAAAGGGACGTAGAGACAGGTCTTTTCGGATGGGTATAAACTGAGGTCCCGTGTCGCATTATATATATAGATACTTACACGAAAAAATAATTCTTACTCATCAAAAGTCGTACATACTGAGTACAGATAAAATTTTGCAGCCCTCCACCAGCCAGTGGTGTTTCAATATCAGTAATTAATATTTGGAAGGATGTTCACTAACTACCATTATACTTACATGGTAAAAGATAACATAGAAAAACAAAATTTTGAAATATGAAAATATATGTCGGGTTTTGTAATTTAATTATACATATTAAAGTTGGAAAAAAAGAATGCTGTGAAACAATGTGGTCTTCTCAAAAAACGTCGATCAAATTAAAAAACACAAAGATTAATAAGAAAATACCTTGCTTTTTTCATTAAATAGCAGGTACCCAGTCTATATGAATACATTTAAAAATTATCACTCGATATGTTGTGATTTTGCTAAACATTTTTTCAACAAAACATAAAAATATTCGACATTAGAATAGCCTCCCGCAATGCAAAACTTAGTCCTGTATTGGGATCGCCGCGGAAAAATCTTCGAATCCTTCACTAGTCCTCCACCCAAAGTTTCTTTTTTCACTGTTAATTTTGCATTGAAAATTTTCAACTGAAGTCCCCCCTTTTGTCTCCCGCTTTCACTATAAGAGGGGGACTTAACATCGGTCTGTCCGTCCGTCCGTCTTTCTTTAACACTTCTCCGTTCGTAAGATATCCCGAGCAGCCTTTGAGCGTTTGCAATGGAATTTTACATAACAAATCCCTATGACCTAATGAAAACCTCTATTGATTTTGAGAACCAAAGGTCTATGTCATAAACTCATAAATTCTTCCTGTTTTAATACATGGTTCCTTGCAATATCTCGCTATGAAATTTATTCCACAACTTGAACTTCATATGGTCTTGAAAAAACCCCTTTTAATTTAATTTTGAGGTCAAAAGGTCAATAAATTCACATTTTTCTACATGTAAAACATTCATTTCCAGACAATATGTCAAGAAGCTTTTGAGCTTTTGTTATGAAATTTTATAACCACAACTCCCTATGGTCCCCCCCAACAGTGCCTCCCAAACCCCCAATCTAGATTCATGCATACTTGTTGACAATTAAGTAGGCTCCTGGACCAAGTTAGGTATACTTAATAAGAGACTAACAAAATTAAAAAAATCACCACCAACTTCAGTCTCATACTTTCTACAGAGAGGCATGGTTTCTAAAAGAGAAAAGCCAAAAAAACCCCACTATTTCTTTTTAATAATATTACTTTAACAAGAATTTAGGATATCAAAATTAAAGGGTTTGTTTTACCAAGAACTTATTCATTTTATGCAATTAGTTTTGTGATTTTTGTTTGAAGGTGAATTTTTGTGTGTGCTTTTTTGTCTGAAAACTGAAAGGTGTAAGCATGAATTTCTACATTTATATTATGCGAAAAATGTGAATGAATGCAATATCTATGACGAATTATGACAGATTGGATTTATATATTTATAGCAGAAATATTTAAGGATATGTACATGTAGTTATGTAAGATTCTGACACTGTTATCACAATGCATGTTATTGTACAACCAACACACTTCACAACATCCGGCTATCTGATTGCTGGAGATAATTCTGGGCAGTTTTCCAGGCCTCTACAGATTTCACATGAACAGGAAACCATCATTGACTTGGATATGCTTAAAATTAACTGAAAAGTGGTTCTTCTGTTAAATCCTATACTTATCACAATGTTTAGATCTTACTTATCCAAACCTCTGCAGTTTGCACTTACTTAACTTAATCTTTATTGCGAATGTTGCTCCCAAACTTTTTTCAGATTTTCACAAGGCACAAGAGTATGCATGTCTAAACTCTTGTGGTGCAAGTTTATAAAAACTATCATGTTGATATGTGGGCATTTTTTAAACCCTCAATACTTAAGGGGGGACCTATGTCGTTCGACGTCAAAGCAGCGTTATGTGACGTCACAATAGCGATGACTTTTGCAACTGTGATTATAGGCATAACATTGTTATTAATCAAAAACGTACACATTTTACAAAAAGAAATTTTTTTCATCATTTAAAACAGTTTTATTTGATTTATGGAGTTTGTTAATATCAGAATTCTCTTCCTTTGGTTGATAATTCATAGCAATTTCAGTTGTGAAGAAATACCTCTATGATATGCTGATATAAAAATGCAAAAAATATAAGATAAAATTCAGCAAAGACAGCGGCTTAAATTAGGGAAATATGTTTAATTTTATGATTACCGCTAATTGTATTTTCTGGATAAAACTAAGAAAAATAAAGAAATGTACCTGTACCTATATTTACTTATTGATTTATAGTGTATGTAGATTTTATTGTGTAAAGTCATTCCTATTAGGTGTTGGTTGTTGACGGGGAAGGGAGGGGGGGAGGGGGCAGAATGATTAGAATGAAGAAAAAAAAGAGTATATCTGTTTAAATTATTTCTTATCATAACAAAATACTCGTTTTTTGCAAAATAGTTTTATATTCAGATGTTTGTCAGTGCTAACTTACCTTTTTTAGTGCAGAAAGGTAAATATTTATGACACAAGAGTACGAAAATAAAAGAAAACGTTATATTTCTCGTTTATTTTATCATAAAGGTATACTTTTTTCCTTGTTAAAATAAAGAGAGAGGTCATTTCTTTCAAAAAATATGAATTATTACATTTTCACACAAAGACTTTTTAAGATATTACCTGTTATGCATGTCGGAATTGTAAAAAATACGACAAGAAAAACACTTACATTGTGCTCCTGTATAATTTTTCATGCGAGATGAATTACAATGAATTTGCCTTCATTTTAAAGATACAAGTCATATATATTAAATACATGTTGATTTCGAATGTGATTTGACATTTTTGGTTCTTTTTAGCGCATATTTGGAGTAGAACAATAACTTCTGAAAATAATCTATTTTTAGCATTTCACACTGTTTTTGCACGTGCTCCTGTGTAAAAATAAGCATATAAAGGTATTGTTTTCAAAACCTAAAAATTAAGATCAAGTGGTCAGGTAAGAAATGTCAAAGTTTTGAAAATTTCACACAAAGACTTTTCGGACATAGGTCCCCCCTTAAAAGCTAGCATGTAGTGCATACTCTGCTCATACATGTATATTGAATGTCTTCATATCTCCATTTGTAACACCTGTTTGCCAGACACAGTCTGACAGTTAATGATGTGCAAAAACCAAAAATTTCTTTAATTATTT